GAGTGGTGGAGATCGCGCGTTGCTGGAAGAAGAATGCTGGGCTGGGAATGGAGGAGGGGTGAGTGGTGTTGCTTGTGGATTGGTTTGTGGAAGTAAGCGAAGTGGAGGTTGTCCTGGACGTGATTTATGTAGTATGGGAACATTGGTTGTGAGAATGATTGGATCTTCGCTGCTGGTGGACGACAAAGCGGAGGGCGGAGGCCGTGGTGGCGGTGGTTTGCTGCCTGCAGGCGTCGGTGTCAAGTTGTGAGGTTGTTGTGTGGATGTACTGCGCGTGGAGAGGTTGCGATAGGGTGGGGGTAAAACTGGTGGAGTTTTTGGTGGTGGTGGTGACGGACAGGTCGAAGAGGCCAGTGCTTTGCTGAGAGGAAGTGCTGTTGGTGAAGCGTCCTCTTGTTTAACGTCCTCTTACTCTTGCTTGATATCTTCTTGCTTCAAATCTGGAGTAATGTAGGGATCGTCTTTGGCTTCCTCGAAGGGGCTGCGGTCCCAATCCGGTGCATCTAGGTCCATTGATGAGGCTGGGCGGCGGGTGAAGCAATATGAGAGAGCAACCCAAACAGCTGCGGATGAATGAGCTAACAAACCAAAAGCTAAAGGTCGTGGTGAAATGAAGGAGAAAAATCGAAGGATGAGAAGGATAAACTGTGGGCAGCTTTTCTGGCGGTCCTCGGAGGTGCCGATAATCAAAAAGCCTGGTGGTGAGACATAAGAGGCTAATGGAGATAGCCAGCTGACTCGCGCTGCGGTGTCATAGTCCAGGAGGATGGAGGCAAAGAGGAGGCCGAGTCGGATGGTGTTGTTGTTGCTGTCGTGGCTGGAGAAGGTGTGATGTCAGAAAGTGGTTGGCGAGTGCTGGTGTGTAGGTTGGGATTGCGTGGTGATGTGGAAGTATTGCTGGTGGGTTGCCTTTCACGGGAACGTCAGCGGTCGCGCTGGATCAGGTGATTGATGAGGCGATGCTGTGGAGGAACGTACATGGGTGTCAAAGGTGGTGTAGAAAGGAAGTTGTTCGCGGCGGAAGGTGGGAAGCTGGCTGTTGGGTCCATATGATAGTGACCTGGAGAACCCGGCGAGCCGGGTAGAAACTGCAGAAGGCGGATGCCTTGCTGGATGTTGGCAGTGATTGTTCCCAAGCGTCGAAGAGTGTTGCGGACTTGTGGGTACAGTCGGTAGGCATGTTGGTCAGTGAAAGAAGAGGGATGTGGTACTGGATCACTGACTAGTGGGTGACGTTGGATGCCGGCCACCAGTGTATTGAGGGTGCTTAGCATCCAAGCGAGCAGCAGGAGTTCTGGCTGGTGTGTGGCCGAAGGCGCCAGGTAGGGCAGCGGGTTTCCCGGCAGGAAATAGCTGGAAGCCGGGTAGTTGGGCGTGGCAGTCGGTGGTGCTGTCGATGAAGGCTCGAGCGTCATTGGTGAAATGGATGCGGGCGAGGAGCTCGATTGGTCTGTGGCCATGTCAAGGTTGGCTGTCCAGAGTTTGGTCACTAAGACAGCTTGAGGCACCGGAGCTGCTGAAAGATGAGTAGAGATTCATGAAAGTGATGTGAAATGGCTGCATAAAATAGTGAAATTGCAAAGGACCAAAACAGCGCACTGCAAAAGACTGAAACAGCGCAAGGTGAAAAGCAGGTTTTCCATTTGCGCGCCGGACCGACAAGGGTCAAACATGGTCAAGGAGTCCAGTCGGCCTCGTGGTCGTTCAAGTGGCTGTCTCTAACATGTTGGCTCATGTTCACCGCCGCCGGCTGCGCAGTATCAGCATGCGGCTGCAGGTGGCTGTGCCTGTCTCGTGAACGTGAGCGCTCTCTGGCTGGAATAGTTGCTGTGTAAAAGGAAGAAGAAGAGAAGCGAGAGTGCCGGTGGGAACGTGCTGGAGATTGCGGAGGGGTGACGGGAGCTGCGGAGAGGAAATCTGTAGTGGGTGGGAAGTAAGCTGTGGGATCCATGCGGTACTGGCCTGGCAGGCCCGGAGGGCCTGGTAAGAATTGGAGTAGTCGCCGAGCGCGCATCAAGCGCAGAGTGGCACGACCCAGGTCAACCAGGCTGCGGTGGAACTGGTGGAAGAGCTGGTATGCGTTGTTGTCAACGAACATGCTTGGATCTGGTATGGGTCCTTCGGCCAGCGGGTGGTTTGCAGTGAGTCATTGTTGGGGAGAAGTGAGATGGGTTGTCTGGATCGGCTGCGTGATCGGCTGTAGGAGGAAGAATAGTAGGAGGTTGAAAGGGATCGTGAACGATGATGTCGCGAGGAATGGTGCTGGTGTACGATGATGTCGCGAGGAATGGTGCTGGTGTGTGGTTCGCTGGTGGCGGTGTGTGCGCCTGCCCCTGGTGTGGTGCCTGTGGTGTCGGCGGCGGCGTTGACGGCGGCCGTGATGTGTGTGGCTGTGGCGGTTGTGGCGCCGAAATGTTGTGGTGAGAAGGTGGTGCGCTTGAAACTCAAAGGCAAGCTGCAAAACAGGATGGTCAGTCGAAAATTCAGTAATGCAGTGATTCAGTAAGGTGTAACCGTATTAGCCCGGCGGCTCGAAAGGCTGTTGATTCAGTGGCGAGAAGAAGTCGGTTAAGAGAATCCAACGAGTGGTGGAAACGAAAAGGTTAGTGAAATTCCGGCATGGCTTCGGCGCCCCTGTCACGGGGATCACACCCAGCACGCAAGTGGGACGGCTGAGCGGTTCACACTCTGACATTGGTTTTCAGTTAGCTGTTAGCTCAATTCCCAGGTCGAAAATGGTGAGGGAACGGCGTGGTGAGAAAGTCAGTTCACTTGAAAGGTTGAACAAGCTGTTTGTGCGTGACTGCAGAGCGCAACGGTAGTGAACGAGCGGCGCGACTCACCTGCATAACCAAGGTTTCGGGGGTGGAAGCATGAAGAACCATGAATCAAACCGTGGAAAGGTAGGGTGACAGCTTGTGGAAAAACTCAGCAGGTACACAATGCGGCGTCCCGCATTGCTTCACCACGAACTGACAGCGTCTTCGTTGGGCAATGTCAGTCAGTCGTGCATTGCCCCCCTGCTGTATCGCATGGACATGGAAAAGCGTGGCAAGACCCTTAGGCACCACACACACACACCGAGCTGTAATCGGCGCGATCTTTGTGTTTTCTTCGCAGGCGGGGGTGGGGGGGGGGGGAGGGAGTGCGTTGACTAAACGAGCCTGGATGTCCACCTAACAAGCCTGAGAGAAAGAACAAGGCAAACGAAAAGGCAAGAAAAGAAGAGAAAGGTGCAGGGGGTGCAGGGGGCCCGGGGGCAGGGTGTGCATTGACTAAACGAGCTTGGATGTCCGCCTAACAAGCCTGAGGGAAAGAACAAGGCAAACGAAAAGGCAAGAAAAGAAGAGAAAGGTGCAAGGGCTGCGGGGGCGTAGGGTGGGGGTGTGGGGTTCCTTGCCCGAAGGCGTGACAAAAGCCGTAGCCGGCGCTCCCTAGAAAACGAAAAAAAGCACCAGAAAACGAAGAGCAACAGCAAGAAGGAAAGAACAGAAAAGCGAATACTTAGCCGCATGTGTCCCGCCTCATGACATGTGAATACTTAGCCGCGTGTGAAGAGCTTGGCTGGAGCTTAATCTCAGTAAGCCCTGCGGCATTGAATCAGCTGTCTCGTGCATCACCGTAAAAAAGCGAGTGAGAGTCAGAGTGAAGGTCACAAGAAGGACAGGAGGAGTCAGTGGGATTCCCCCAGGATCTGGGTCTATGCATATGCTGCGCCCCTCGATGGGGATCACACCACAGCCCTCTGTGGGACTCTGTGGCGACACACACTTAGATGGATGCTCGCAAGAGCTAAACCAGTGGCTGAATCATGGATGAAAAGCCCTTACGTAACTGAGAATTAGAGCTTGACTGGATTCAACGGAAAAATGCTTCAACGGCAAGGCGACGGAGTCCAGGCGCTTGGAGATTTTTGAACACTCTGTTTGAACACAAGTGAGGCGCTGCAGTCTGCTGGGGATGGTTTAGGGGTAATGTCAACCTCTGATTAATAAACATCAAACATGTAGTAGGTAGTAGGTGGTGATGGTGGTGGTGGTGGTGGTCGTGGTAGTAGCACGTAGCAGCAGCAGCAGCAGCAGCAGCAATAGCTAGCACTAGTAGCAGTAGCAGTAGCAGGAGCAGGAGCAGCAGCAGCGGCAGCGGCAGCCGCAGCAGCAGTAGTAGCAGTAGCAGCAGCAGCAGCAGCAGGAGGAGGAGTAGTAGTAGTAGTAGTAGCAGTAGTAGTAGTAGTAGTAGGTAGTAGTAGTAATAATACGAAACATTGACCTGGTTGTGGGCTCGGATTAACTGGGGGGGGTTCTGATGCCCAACTAGAAAATTAGGGGGGGAAATAGGCACGAATGATACTTTTAATTTGGGCAATTTCTGGTGGGTTTGTGTCTTCGGATTAACTAGGGGAGGTTTATTAATCGTAGCTTGACATTACTGGTATATCGTGCAAAGAGCATGAAACCAAGGAACAGCAGGAAATTGGAGTGTTGTCACGAAGCAGGTACAGGTGGATGATCAATCAGTCCACCCATCCCTCGATACACCAGAGCTTCGTTGCGTCAGGTAGGTGTATCGAGCCTGACGCCCCCGCGTGTGATGGACGACCCACTGAAAGTGAATTAGAAAATGCTACAACCTTGGATACAGGTGTTGACACACACACAGAGACGGATATATAGCACACATACACACATATTCATGTATGTACGTATGTATGTATGTCTTCAGGCATGCGCGTGTATAGCACCCATTTTGGCTGGAAAACCAATGTTTTTTTGCTGGCCCAGCTTTTATCTTCAACAGACGGTGTGATGCAAATAAAGGTTCTGGTACTGTGGAACATGACCGGCGTGGGGGAGCCCTTCTGTTGTGGGTTTGCACAATTTTCACGGCACCTCCAAGACTATATTCTTGGCCAATGTTTCTTTTATCGATTTCTATCGGCTGCGTATCGTGATATCAAATGTACAGCTATATATCATCGCTGCAACATCCAATCTTGATGTATGACCCATAAATCCATCCCTGTGATTGCAGGCACTGATGGATGGGTTCCACCTCAATTGGAGCTTGCTTGTCCTCCTCAGGCTTCCTCCTCGCGTACCTTTTTCCTCAAACTCTCCATTGTTTTGGTCGGTGGCTTCGGGGCTATCATGTACTTTGCTAAAAGTGCAAACATGGAGTGGCTAAGCAGCAGCAGGACGTACACAGCTTTCCCCGCACCAGAGACACAGGGAAGAAGCATTGGAAGAGTTGGAACTCCGACAGAGCTTCCAGAAGTGGTGCCCCGCTACCAAGCACCATCCTTAGTGCAATTCTAATGGCAGAGCGCTCGTTTCCAAAGATTGACACAAAAAGTGCCGATCCTTCAAAGTCCCATGGGGATGTTGGATAATGAACATACTTGAAAAAACACGCATTGGATCGCTCAGCTGTGCGCAGCAAACAGCCGAAGGATGTGCAGTTGGCGTTCTAGTAGTTAGGCATAGCTTGGCTGGCTCGACGGGCACTTTGAGACAGATAGTGCTCTTTTGGCGGAAAAAGACTGCCCTGAAGTCGGAAGCCTGGTCAGAAACTTCATGAATCTGAAACGTTGCATGTTGATTTTGAGGTGAAGTGGCACAATTACTCAGTAAGCAAAGGTGTGCAACGTTAACTGTCAGCACCTTGGTTGGTGACAAGTCACGTTGGCATCGCTCCCCTGCTTCAGGCTTGCCATCCGTTCCTGCTTTGATGTACCGGGACGACATCGTTGGGCCTGGCAGCTGAATGACTTCGGCAATGATGGCAACAAGTCGCCATGCTGTTGAGGATGATGCTGAAGGAGGCACAGGACCCAGGCTGCTGAGCAAGCTGCTGGGCTCACCGAACGCCGGGGGCCAATTGCTTACAGCAGAGATTTTGACATGTACCTGGTCGTGACTTTGGGTGACATAATCAACCCGTAATCTGTGGTAAGCCTAAAACCGCTTCGTCCAGTGTTTGCCACTGGATGTTGAACTGTCGAGCGAAGGCAGCGGAGGTATGACAGCCGGATTGAGTACGTACGTGCTACTATGTTGAAGGATTGTGATTAGTCAGTCAGGGCTTCGATCCTTGTCAATGGTCACCTTGCCCCGCTTTTGAGCGCCAAGGTCTCCGCCATGGTTCATGCAGGGGACTCGAATCAGTCCCTGCAAGCCTTGGGACATTTGGCGATCAGCCTTCAATTTTGACCGTTGGACGGGTGATGACAATGACAAAGACTTTGATCCTAGGTGTTGTCATGCAGGGCCCAAAGATTGAAGTACTACTGTATATAGGCTTTGCATAAATCCAAACCGGCCATGAGGCAAAGATTTTCAGCGAGGCATCCAGGCAGATGCTGCTCACGAGCCGAAGACTTGGTGTTTCTCGCAAAGCTCCTTCGACCACTCCTCACTTGTGTGCCGACTGCATTTAAATAGGTCCAGAGCCCTGAGCAAAGGCACTGCGGACACATATCAGATGGCAGAGGTAGCAAGCTGAAATGATAGCTGCACTGCTTCAAACGCGTCTTTGTACATCCCAAGACGGTTTCGGTCTCAAAATGCAGGACAGCGTGGCATACATTGGAGCACGACTTCACACACGGCTTTTGTCGGTGCTGCTCTTCGTTGGATCCTTGGAGTGTGCGCCTGGGGAGTGCCAATGAGTGGGAGGCTATTGGAATGATTCCGTTTCGGGGCCGGGAGGCGGGCTCCGTTTCATGTTTGTTTGAAGAGGTGAATGTTCAGAGATGTTCAGAGGTCAATCACAGCTTCATCAGTGTATGTACCAGCATAAGTGCGACATTGTTTGGGGCCTGAGTACGGGCATTCAAATAATTGATTCACATCTACAAAAGTCAACGAGCTGTTGGTGAGTGGCCCAGGTGCAGATGCTTTCTACTTCATGCATCCAGAACTGAAGGGTCTAAGCCTTTTAGCTCTTCCGTGCTTGGCAATGTCTCGCAAGAATCCGCAAGGCAACAAGCTTTTTGGTTAGAACCCTGGTACATGAGGCCGGCCCCTGTTCAGGAAGGCCGTGCATGAGGTAGCTGCCGCTGTGCAAGCACAATGGGCGATGTGGACTTGCATCAGCTTGAGCACTTGTGCCAATGCCAACAATTTTAAGCCAACGCGTTTAGGTAAGCACAAGATACTTGTGGCGCCTCGGGCATGTGCATCATTCACAGATGTCATTCATGCAATGCAGCAGTGTGAGACACTTTTTGTGCCATCTGCGGCGTAGCTCAGTTCAGTTGATACAGTGTAACAGGTCTTGTTTTACATGCGTTGCTGAAAGGTGTCGTTCAGTATATGATATATCCCAAGATTGTTGCTTCTCGGCGATTTGTTATTAATTTGTCCCGAGCAGCCCTAGGCTGAAAGCGCTCGTGTGCCATGTGCACGGCGAAGTGCCAGTCAGGCAATGTCTTAGATTCAATTCAAGCTTTTCAACAACCTGGCTTGGTTGGAGAGAGAGAGAGAAGAGAGATAGGGGGATGGAGAGAGAGATAGCAAGAGAGTAAGATCAGCATAGATGTAGGCCCTGTAATGGACCTGTAGACTCCTTCATGCTTCGCAAAGACCGTCTTGCCTGGCAGGTGTCTGAGCTCCTGGCTGCCTGTGTACGAGGGGCTGGACGGAGCCCTTATGGTAAACAACCCCCTATTTGCAGCACCTCACCATGTGAGTTTGCAGGATTGGACATGGCTGAGCTTGGGGGTGGCTTCCCAAGAACTGTCGAAGATGTCACACTCATAAAAGAGATGCCAATGACAGCACCAATTCTTCTATTCTTTTGGCCTTTGATTTGGCTTCCTTTTCTGAGGTCCAGGGGCACAAACCACTAGTGAGCCCGAACCTGAGCCTTAGCGTGTTCTTGGAGATAAATGTTACTTGCAACTTATTACATAGTACTGATCATTTCTGTACAAAAGCCCTTTGCTGCTAGCAGGTGCCATTAGAGATTGATGTTGTCACACACGCCACCTCGAGCTGTGGTAGAAAGCCCGCCACCGGAGCAGCCACCCAGACCAGGCCATTTGATCTTGCTGAGAAGCTTCTGCAAGAAGCGTAGGGGTACTCAGTCAGAAGAGTTCTTCAGAGTGTGGGATGGGAACATTGAGTGTCAAGATGCGGTGATGAACATGTGCAAGGATGTCCATGCAGGGTGGGGCGAGTCAGAGTTATATAGTACAGCACGAGTTGCCGAATGCTTTGCCAGTTGCATCACTCAGGGTGGAGGTTCGCCCGGAGGCTTCTGATTTGCGCTACCTTCTTGGCAGCGTACCCTGGCTGAGTCATTGTCGTTTTTGCATGCCTGATGAAGAACAGGCCAAAGTACCATCAGTGCAGCAACATCAGGAATCAGGTCCATAATTTCGGAGTACTTTCTGGCGAGTTTGATGATTTGTGAGTTGCTGCCCCTATTGCGCAATGCACAGATTCTGTTGTCAAAATGATGGTGTGCTTGTTGAGCTTCAAGGCTCTTTTCGTTTTTGGATGTGCCGTGCTGTTGAAAAATGTGAGGTCCGTAGTATATACATTAACGCAGGGCAGGCACCATCTTGGCCAATGGGTGTTTGCCACACTGCTTAAGCGCCAACACACAAAAAACTGTTATGCAGTTATATATAGTTATATATATATAATATATACATATGCGCGCGCACACATAGAAGAGAGAGAGAGAGAGAGCACTTATGGCTCAAACAAAGACATGGCTTTGGAAAGGCACCTTCTTGCATGTTGGACCAAGATCTGGGCCCCTGGAGTGTTCTCTATGCCGAAATCGGGGACTCCGATGGGGAATGGCAGGCTTTGCATTCTTCTGGCCGCCGGTCGGAGGCAATTGTCCAGTGCCTCGTCAGATTATGCTTGAATGACTTGTAGATGGTCACCAGAGTTTCTGCATTTGTGCATTTCTGTACATGCTGCTGAAGCAGTATGAAGCAGTTGCCCAGCATATATGTCAGGATTCACTGCAGCCGTCTAGGGGTTCAGTAGCCAAATAGATTTTAGGGCAAGATGATGGAAACAAAGGCCTGCCTGAGTTATATGGGATGTTGCAGCATTCTCCGGGTTGAATGGCCGAGTGTCCTTGCCTTTCAGTTTTGGAGCTTAGCACCCACAACATCCCTACGATTTTTCATAAGCCGTTTGAGGCTGAGGGATCGGCAGGGGGAGAGATTTAATTATCGTGATTGTCATTGCACTGTTTGATTGATCCCGAACCTCGCCAAAGGGTGCCCATGTACCGTACCGTACATCTACTCTGACAGGGAGAGGGCGCGGTGGCAAGTGCATGCAAGTGCCAGATTTCTTGTCTTATACAGTTGAGCCTGAACATGCTGTTTAAGCTGGATGGCATTGATGGCATTGGTTTATTTATACGAATCCAAAATGAGATATCGCAAAACAATTGCAGATACAGTTGCATATTTTGCCTACTTGAGATTGGTGAAATTGAGCAAAGAACAGTGCGCAGGTGATACCTATGCAGTCAGGGGCCTTTGCTGACCGGCTGCAGAAGCTCTTATCTCAGATGCAGGCACGTGGGCACCGTGGGGCATGGAAACAGAACATATCGCATTCATTGGGTTCATTTTCTGCGACATCACTTGGGGTCAAGAATGGTGTGGCATGCTCGGGCACCTAGTTGGGAATGTCACTGTGCCATACTACTCAAATCGAAATTATGTCAAGCACAGACTTGGTTCCCAACGGAATGAGAGGTGGACATTCAAAAGCTCCATGAGCACGAGCTAGCGAAGCATTCACCCAGAAGCTTGAACTCGGATGGCTGCTTGGCCTGTGGTGTGGCGGTTTGAGCAATGGCAAGGAGGTGAGCTTAGACTTTTAGAGCGTTTGACGCACAGCTCTTCGATATCCGAACATGATGTGCACCTGATTTGTAGCAATCACATTGGCCGCCACCTCGACGCGCGCCAAGATCTCCACAAGCCAACCTCGCTGTGGGATGCCGCTACGGTTCATCAGGATAGCATTGTTCAGGACTTTGATGCCGCTTCATTGCAAGCTCCAGCCAAGTCATGCACAAGCAAAGACACATGAAAAAAACACTGTTTGATTGGTTTTCCCGTTTCTCCTTTCTTTAGCGTTTTCTGCAAAAGACTCCGATTCTAAGGATGACCCATTGGAACGAACTACCTCGTCGTCGACCGGACCGACGAGCATTCTCAAGGCATCATCCAAGCCCAGGCACAGTTTAGACTCATTTGGGGTCATACTAGTAGCAAGGACGCTACTAGCGGGAGGCCATCGCTATTAGGTTGGAGGCCATCGCTAGGTGTCGGCCCGAGCTCCTCCCAGCGGGTGCACCGGGGCGAGCCAACGACTCGGGGGGGCGATGTTTGAACCTGAGCCATGGTTGTCCCTGGTGCCCGAGAGTGCCGCAGTCACACTCTCGGGCAAAGCATGGTACTATGATCACGCACGATCTGCATACTGCTGCACATCCCTTTTGAGAAGCCAACAGTTCATGCTCTCGGGGATTCGACTCCATGGAGATAGGTTTTCCGTCATAGCTGCCAGGAAATCCACTCAGGCTGGAACGTATGTCTTGGAGGCTGACCAGTCGGCCATTCAGGTACACACCCTGGCCAACAGTTCCACGGCCACCGAAGTGATTGACATCTGCTCAGGCTATGCCATCATGACGGCAGGCTACAGTTTGCTGGATTGCAAAGTCAGGTGCCACGTTGAGATCAATCCAACCTATGCTTGTTGGCTGAGGGAAAAACAGTTGCCCGTCATCGAAGGTGACATTGACAGCAATTCGGTCTTGCAGGCATTGCTGCAATACACCTCGACGCCATGCATCATGACAGGAGGATTTGCTTGCCAGCCCTTCTCGACTTTAGGCGACAGGAGACAACAGTTAGATCCCCGAGCTCGGAGCTTTGAAGGTATGATCACAGCATGCTATGTCTTCCAGCCGTTAGCATTGATATTGGAATGCACCAAGGAAGCGATGACTTCGCCATGGGTACAAGATACCCTCCGCTCCTTTTGTCAAGCTACTGGATATGTACTTCAACAGCAGCTGTGTCACTTGCAGGATTTTTGGCCGGCCAAACGAACGAGGTGGTGGGCAGTGTTGATCCATCCCAATTTCCGGATGCCAGAACTGCGAGGATTCCCAAAGCTCGACTTTCAGCCAGCATTCCGCCACTTGATTCCGCAGTTGCCCAAGTGGCCCGTTGATCATGTACAGGAGTTGCAACTCACGCCTTCGGAGCTATCGGTCTTTGCAGATCAACCAGGAGGGCTAGGAAAGAATGCCGTTTGTCCGACAAAACCATTGCAAACAGCTCTCCATGCATGGGGGTCACAACTGAGTGCATGTGCATGCGGGTGTAGGGCAAGTGGTTTTACCTCCAAAAGACTTGATGAAAAGGGATTGTATGGTGCACTCATTCCCACCGAAGGCGTCACCCAAGTCAGGGGTTATGACCTTGCCAACATGCGCCATGTTCACCCTGACGAAGTGGCTATCCTGCATATGGTTCCCCCGGCACACCTCCAGCGCCCGGATCCTCGGCGACTCAGACTGGATTTGACCGCACTGGGACAGATGGCCTCCCCAGCTCAGGCCTTATGGCATGTGGCCCAAGTCATCCAAGCACTGAGGAATGCTTTCGGGTCAAATTGCTCACAGTCGCTTGCCGAACAAGGCCTGCTCCAGCTGGCAATTGCTACCTTCGAGGCTCGAGATGAGATGCTGCAGCCGTTTTCGCATACTAAGGAATCAGCCTTGTTCCAAACAGCCGTGCTTGCGAAGTTTGGGGTGTCCTTCCAATGCCCCCCGATCCTAAGTGCACATGAGGTCAAAAATGCTGACGATGCCGCCCAGATTGCCCAGCATAACCGGCACCTTGACGTGCCAAAACCAGGTGTATCAGATACACCTGTTTTATCATCTGGTTTCGAGCCTTCCTGTGAGCCATCAGCAGCCGCTCAGCTTCCGGATTGGAACGATGAAACGGGTAGGGTGGGGCAGAATCGAGCCTCACGAGGATTTCGAGGTCAGTGAGACCCATATACCAGGCAGGGAGTCCCTCAAGAGGAAAGCAGAAGTTGATGATCTGTTCCCACACGACGCCACCCTCAAGCAGGTCATCTCGCCCACCGGTGGTCTAGAATTCTTTGCCAACAAGCCGAAAACAGGCATGTCACGAGGCATTGCAGCCGACGCACCGGGCCAATCATCGCTCGTCGCCGCCCAGGTTGCCCATGTCGAAGACAACCAAGGCAAGAGCCTGGGACCTGCAGCACGAGGCAAAGGCAAGGGGGGAATCGGCTTGTTCGACCAATCAAGCCACAGAAATCAGGCGGACTGCCATCCACATCAGCATGCACCCATTCAGCATGCCCCCAAGACACATATGAAAGTGCCACCTCCAACGGGCACCAGAGATGACCAAGCAAGCCCGACAGGTTTTCCTGACCTGCCGCCGCAGGATTGCCTTCGATGGCTGCCCACCGAGCGTTTCCATGTCACTGTCTGCCGAAAAGAAAGCGCACCAGTCCAGGTCATGGTCTGTCCAGGGGCCACGATTGGCCAACTATCTCAGGCAGAATCACATGTCGCAGGTCTCTCACAGCCGTTGGTCATTAAGACACTCACAGGCATCCCATTGCCTTTGAATAGCTACCTGACACCAGCCGCCTGGTATGCCATCGATAATGGAGCAAGCCATTCGATACCGAAGTGTTCCCAAGTCCATGCACAGCAGCATACCTGTCTGCCCATGAGAGGCCAAAGCCGATTCCAAGGACTCCTTCAGCAAGGCCCCTTGGTTGCAGTGGATGAGATGATCTTCTATGTGCAGTTGATTAGGAACCAGGGACACACGATTTCCGATCCGATCGTCCTTGATAGCCCTGCTGACGCTGAGCAAGCAGTAGCCATCTGGGTTTTACAATGTTTGCAAGCATTCGACATGGACCCAACCAGTCAAGTGTTCATGGTGCCACTATTGTACTTGAGCCATTGGAGCCCCTTGGCATTGCACGCCTCCACTGACAGCAAGACCCTGCTGATTTCGCAGGACCTCGAAAAGCACATCATGCCGCTGGTCACCGAGGCCATAGGCACCAGGGAGCTTGATTTTGGATCCTTTTTGATGCCATCCGAGTTTGCAGCCGACTGTGGATTCCAGACTGTCAGCTGGTTCTTTGCGCATGCCAACGGGGCAGACCATCCGAAGGCAATCATGCCAGCGCAAGCCGACCAGTGGCGGGTCCCTTTCGCCTTGCATATTTCGAGCCATCAACAAGCCATGACTACAGATATTAGGCTAGGAGGCACGATGCAACCGGACCAACTGCTATTGCAATCAGTCCTGAAGCAACATGGAGTCCATCAAGACCGATTGGCCACTTGTGCCTCGAGTCTCATCCAACAGTTAGGATCCGAAGCCATCTCAAAGGCCCTGGGGAGCTCCCAGCCATGGAAAGACCTCAAAACACTGGCCACTCAGGCCTCTCCACCAATCAGGATCGTCCTGGCCTCCGAGATCGATGCAGCAGTCAAAGCCAGGCTGGCTACGGGGAAGCCAATGGGCACAAAAGCCAACAAGAAACAGGCCACCAAAGGGCCCCAACCTCAGGTCATTCCGACAGCTGACCAGATCAAGCTGCCAGATGCCATTTTCGCTCAACCAGATGGACAGAAGTTGCCTTCGATCCCGCTCCACAGAGTCGAAGCCCATTCGCAAGGGGTCGCGCTTTGCAATATCAGTGAAGTGATTCATTTCTTGAGTCTCACAGCCCCCATCTCTAGCGAAGGGGTTGCCTTGTTGATCCTTGACCATGCCGACCCCCGCCTGCCAGC